CTAAAATAGACGGGGATCTGTTCCCCATCCATTTGGTGGATCAGATAGGATGGCAGTCAGAAAGGAAACAGACAGGCGGTCCGTTTCCATCTGACCACCCCATAGAAGACAGCGGTCTGTGTCCGCTCTGCAGAAGTGGAGCAGAAACAGACCAATCATCTGCCTGCTCAGTGGGGATCAGCAGAGAGATCCTTTGCTGAGGCGCATCTGCTGACGGGTCCACCCCGAAAAAGGGTATGATGGTAGGCACTATGTACAGAATAGGAATACAAAGGGTATGAGGACAGGCAGTAAATGTAGTAGAGGATAAAATAGTGGGCAATATGTGCAACTGGGGAATCTAGAGAGTATGAACAGTGGACAGCAGTGAAGTATGGAGGCATGACAGAGAGCAGTATATGCAGGAGAGTAGTATGGCGGGTATGAGGGTGGGCAGTATGTACAGTAGCGTAGTGAGGAAGGTATAATGGTGAATAAATATTATTGAGACTCCTAACAAGACAGGCTCTTTCAAGAAGAGGAGCTTTTGGGCAGAAAAAAAAAACACTGAATGGACCTAAACGCTAGGTGTGTTTAGCGCTTAAAAGTTCATTCATTCCAATGGCTAGAATAAATATCCTGACCAATGGAGTGAACGTCCAAATGCTTGATGTGCCTAAATGTGGCTTTAGGCTTTTCTCCTGCTGGGAGCAAAGGCATCCAGGGGAGGAAAAAACAAACTGCTGTGTGCATCAGGGTTTAAAGTGGTTGTAAAGGCTCAAGGTTTTTTTTACCTTCATGCATTCTGTGCATGAAGGTAAAAAAACATCTGTGTGTGTGAAAATACTCAAAAATGCTTGAGAAAACCTGAAAAACACTCAGCTCAGTGCGAATGGAGCTTAAAGGAGCTCTAAACATTAGTGACACCCAAAAGGGGCTCTAATCCTTCCCCATTCTATCCAAATCTGAAAAAAAACATGATTTCACAGATTTTGTTGTAACTTTCAAATGCTGCAAATATTTCTTTTATATTTTCTCAATCTTTTTCTTTTCCATGGGAAATGCAAAGTGTGTTTACATAAAACCATTTTGAACAAACCCATTTAAATCTTTTCATTCAAATCCATTAGTTCGAGAGCAGCAATGGGACATTTACTGTATAAAATTAAAACTGAATTCCAGGCATATAAATGTATAAGAATTAGGCAGGCCATACAATATGAGTTTTCTGTGGTTGAAAAATACAATTGCTCCATTCCCCCATCAACACAGTCAGTTTGATGAAGGAATCGCTGCCCCTGCACCCCTGTATTCTGCTAGGTTTCCTAGCTGTCATAATACAATGATCACTGGTGGCAGCTATAGCAGCCAGCAGTGATTGCATGAAAAAACCCAAAAGGCTGGTTGTACTGAAGGTGATCAATAGATTAATACAACCAGCCTGCCCATAGATGGATCAAAATTTGACTGGTTCACCACACAATGGTAAATGCTAGTCATTGGATGGAGTAGAGCAGGTGGAACTTCTGATGTCAGCAGTGCACTAAAGCTTCACTATCTTCATGGCTCAACTGACTGGCTGTTAGTGTACAGAAGATTCAGTAGACTGGGGAATGGTAGCAAGAATTTTGATATGCAAGTACTGCAACAGCACTGACACGAGGTGTCATTGATCAAACATACCTATATTGCCAGTATAGGAGCTATAACAGAAGAGTTTTCACCTCTCCTGTCTTACTCAAGGGGGGGGGGGGGGGGGGGGGGGGGGGGGGGGGGGGGGGAGTACACTCCCAAGAACCAGCCTACTGCATGGCCAAAGAAGCTCTTGTAAGATGTAGTCTTGCAGGACACACTTAAGGATGCAGAACACACTGGGTTTCCTGCAAATCCCTCCCCAGCTGGCACTGAAGAGGAATGTCTGTGAAGATAGATTTTTCTAAAATTTCTTTAAACTCACGTCATGAGCCGCACATAGGGAAGTAGCTGTACTTTTAAATGACTGCTGCTAAAAGGTTAAGCTTTAAAGTGGTTGTGAATCTCTTTTTTTTTTTTTTAAACCCTAATGCATTTAAAAAAAAAAAAAAAAAAGCAGCCCCTCCCCTTATACTTACCCGAGACCCACAATAGCTCTCCGGACTGTCCCTCCTCAGAGCAGATCAGAAGCAGTGGGAGCAATTGGTGTTCCTGCTGTTAAACTGATTTTGGGGAGGGGCACAAGCAAGCAGGGCAGTACCCTGCAGTCTTTGGATGCAGGCAGTGGGGCTTTGGAGAGAGCATGCATAAGTGGCCCTATAGGAAGCAGCTTCCTATGAGGCAATGGATGAAGAGCAGGCAGGTGTGCCAGTAGGGGGACCAAGGAGGGAGAAGGCTCAGGGCTGCTCTGCACAAACCCATTGCACAAAGAATGCAAGTATGTTTATTTTAGTAATTAAAACACACAAAGCTTTAAAGAGAGTGAAGAATTGAAAATCAAAGTAAGCCTGCAAACTTATCTGTTTAGTAATACTTGCCCGTTTGGCAGGGACTCCAATTTTCAATGTTGCAGAGCTCCAGGTTCCACCCACTAACTTCTACATGACTACTGAATCCTTTAGCAACATAGCAGCCAAGAGGTGGAATCACAGCATGCTTTGAGGGAGAGCATTATTCACCAAAAGTGCTGGGCCCTGAAGTATGCAAGGAGCACTCTAGGACATCTTATTTCACAGGGTGCATAGTTACTTTTTTTTTTTTTAAACTTGTGATGTGTTCTGCAAAGATTTTACAGATCTTTATCTTTTGCTGTACCCAAAATGTACCACTGCCTAGAGCAACCCAGTTCTCCAAATGCTCATACCAAGACATGCTCTCATACATATCTAACTGCTCAGTGAACAGATTTCCTAACTGCTGAAACATTTCATTCAGCTCCATCTTCTCACCAGTCATAACTGCTTACCCAAATTTGGAGTGGGGCTGTGTTCTGATTTGGCATTATGCCATCTGCCCTTTGTAGCTGCTGGTAATCCACCTACACAGAGTGAACTATTGGATTGTAAGTAAAGGCAGTGGCAAGAGAACTGCAACACAGACCAGCATAACATTTTATAGTCATATCTAAACAAAACTCCTCAGTATGCCACGCCTTAGATGGTAACTGCACTAGTGTACTCCCTTTACTTCATTAAGCATGACCTAGGATGGCTATACAGATAAAGGCTCTGTTCACACCAATGCATTAGTGATTTTTGAAGAAAAATGCTCTACAGTCAATTTAACAGTTTCCTATGGAACATGTTCACATCTATGCTTTTTTTTGGGAAAGTGTTAGGGACAAACCCCCTCACACACCCCTTTTGCTACAATAGAGTTTTACAAACTGCATAGGTGTGAACAAAGCCTTACATCTTCCTCACGGGGGGGGGGGGGCACGGAAGGTTAGAGACTGACCATTCCTCCATTTTCTGTTCACAGAAGTAGCAAGCAGCAGGGCTCACCTGTCAGTGCTGCCACACTGTGCCAGCCTCTTCCCTCCCCCCCAATCCCTGCCATGTCTCCACTTGCCCATCTGCAGGTCTGGTTCAGTGGGATGTGGCACAGGGGAGGGAGGAGAGCAGACACATCCACTCCTCATCCTAACCTGGATTCCAGGTCATTGAGGTTGGGAAAGAATGTAATGCAGTGTGATATCCAGGGTGGCTGGATCAAAAGAACCTGTAAGATAAACCCCCACCATATTAGGGACTGAAAGGTTCCATGTGAAAAGATGTTATTTAAATTGATACACCCCAGCATATTCCTCCAAGGAATTTCACAGCCCCCACCTATGTAAACATGCATTTGGGTGCCTACACCTATAAAGGGGCTTTGAAAGCACCATATATAGAGAATATAGGTTACTAAAGTTTGCCATTTCACAAGTGCACGCAAAATTTAAAGGTTTAAGATGTTAAATAACCATTTACATGATACCTGTCAAATTTTCCAAAAAAAAAAAAATTTGCTTTGTGCCCTAAATTAAATATGTACTGAAATTCTGCATTTCCTAGACCCTTGTGATATGACTTTAAAAAAAAAAAAACTAAAAAAAAAACAAAAAACTGCTGTTTTACCCTCTAGGATCTGATTTCAGAAAATATATAATGTTGGGGTTGTGACACAAACAGATCTGGCAGCGAAATGAATAAGCCCCATGCTCCCCTTTCCTGACAAACACCCAATTGGTGCTTACACTGCAAGGTCTCTCCTTCCTGATAGTCCCTGGGTGTGGTGCTTGAGAGGTAGGGAAGGGAGGAGATAAAACACTGCAATGTTAAATTAAAATTTTTAAGTTGCCATAAAGCCCCTTTTGTTTTAAAAGCCCCAGTGAGTGTCATGAGAGACAAGTAGATTGTCATACTGATTTAGTCCCTGGACAAGTAGTTCTTCCAACAATTTCTACATACCTGGTCCAATTTCTGAGAAGTCATTCTAGCCGACATTTAGAACACTGGTCTTTAAGCCAGAAAGAAAGTCACCTGATTAGAGATCTAGTGCTTAAACCCACTGCTGCCCAACCCCCTCCCAACACTACTTCCTCATTTCAGCACAATACCCTTCTTACCCACTCAAAAAAGTCAAGAGACATTGAATGTTTTCTTCTTTATTAAGTTTGTTCACTGACCTCTTGCATCTCTCAAAGATCAACAATGTATGTAAACTTTTCAAAATGTTAGGGATAGGGCCCATGAGATAAAGAGTAGAGTGGTCAAGGCAGAAGATACAAAAAAAATAAAAAGTTCGGGTATATAGCTGCACAAATAAGCAACACAACCATTTGTAAGAGCTCCAACTGAGCAGCATTGAGGACACATTTTTCAACAATGCACTATACACTTGGAGAGGAAAAAAAAAAAAAATACTGTTAGTCCTCAGGTGCACTGTGGGTTGGTGTTTGTCCCCATCTCTCCATTCCAGTTATTAAATCCTGAGCCAAGCGCCAATGGGGAAAGCCATGCCAGTGATCTTTCTGCGCAAATACAATGAACATAAAGGGAAAGTCCTTAGAAGCATTTGCGGTGGACAATTGATGGCCCAGATTCATCATACTCCTGCTTGCTGATCCACATCTGCTGGAAGGTGGAAAGAGATGCCAGGATGGAACCTCCAATCCATACAGAGTATTTACGTTCTGGTGGTGCAATAATCTACAAAAAAAAAAAACAAAAAACAAACACTCATTAAAAAAAAAAAAAAAAAAAAAAAAAAAAAAAAAACACACAAACAAACATTCTAATGCAACTCCTTCATATTACACAATACCCATGTTCAGTGCCTAATACAAATAGTATTGAAGAACCTACACAGCTAAATGACTCCAGCCCAAGGGGAAAAAAAAAAAAAAAGCAGATACATACCTTTATTTTCATGGTGCTTGGAGCTAGTGCAGTTATTTCTTTCTGCATCCTATCAGCAATTCCTGGATACATTGTGGTTCCTCCAGAAAGGACAGTATTTGCATACAGATCCTTACGAATATCAACATCACATTTCATTATGGAATTGTAGGTAGTTTCATGGATACCACATGACTCCATGCCTAAAATAAAAATATTTTAGGTTATAACAAAGAACACACCCACCTCTACCCCACAAGCCACCTTTCACAATGCTCACCAAGAAAAGATGGCTGGAATAGGGCTTCTGGACACCTGAACCGCTCGTTACCAATGGTAATGACCTGCCCATCAGGCAACTCATAGCTCTTTTCCAGAGAAGATGAAGAGGCAGCTGTAGCCATTTCTTGCTCAAAATCCAGAGCTACATAACACAGCTTCTCCTTAATGTCACGAACAATTTCTCTCTCAGCAGTGGTAGTAAAGCTGTAACCCCTCTCAGTCAGAATTTTCATGAGGTAGTCTGTCAGGTCACGTCCAGCCAAATCAAGACGCAGGATGGCATGAGGCAGTGCATAGCCTTCATAGATTGGCACAGTATGAGTGACACCATCTCCAGAGTCCATCACAATACCAGTGGTACGTCCAGAGGCATACAGAGACAGTACAGCCTGAATAGCAACATACATTGCTGGAGTGTTGAAGGTCTCAAACATGATCTGAAAAAAAAAAAAAAAAAAAAAAAAAAAAGTGTGAGGTTAAACAGAGGTTCACCCTTTAAAGACTGCAAACCATGCAGGTGTACTTGCAAGATTGAAAGTGGTGTTTGGACACTTCAAATCTCAATTGTTCAAATTCAAAGCCAATGGGAAGGAAGGGGGGGGGGGGGGGGGGGAAGAGAGAAAACAAAAAAACAAAAAAAAGCAGGCAGTGATCCTAACACAACTCAGAGTTAAGGTTCAAAGTAACCAAACTGCACAACTGTTAGTGGCACAAGCAGAAAGCATTTCAAATAGAACCTGTAGATATTCCAAAGTAGGCTTGGGCAACAGAATCCTGTATGGACAGCAAATTAAACTTGTTAAACATTATATTATGCAGTCAATTAAAAAGATTTAAAAGCCCAAATCAGTAGTACCTGTGTCATCTTTTCTCGGTTTGCTTTGGGGTTAAGTGGAGCTTCAGTCAGAAGCACTGGATGCTCCTCTGGGGCAACTCTCAACTCATTGTAAAAGGTGTGGTGCCAGATTTTCTCCATATCATCCCAGTTTGTGACAATTCCATGTTCAATTGGATATTTCAGAGTCAAAATACCTCTCTTGCTTTGAGCTTCATCCCCTACATAGCTGTCTTTCTGCCCCATTCCAACCATGACACCCTGGAGAAAAAAAAAAAAAAAAAAAAATTGTTAACACTGAAATGGGAATAGTCATGCCCTTTCATTGCATTAGTATAACCATAACATTTTAGGCTCCAAGCAACCATTTCTTCATTTAGCAGCCACTTTACTAGAAAGTGGAAAAAAAAAAAAAAAAAAAGGGAACCCCAAATCAAGTAGGCTCACACCATTGTAAAACCCCTTAATGCAGAGAATGCAAGAAGAGACTAGCATTTATAGCCAACTAAGGTAAAATTTCCTTTCAAAAGCTGCTCCCCCAGCCCTGCAATAATCTGCAGAAGGTCTCTGCTTTTCTTCTCACAAGACTCCACAGCAGGAGATGTTGGCTCCTGCTGCTGTCAGCCAAGTCCTATAAAAGAGGGAGCAGGGCACAGCTGTGCACCCAAGGATTCACACAGCTGAGCTCAGGATTTATTCTGCACCAAGTGTCCTCACAGCATGCTACTTGCTGTGGGAGCACTCTGAAGAGGAGCCAAGACTGCCAGTGAGGGACCCTAGAAGAGTGTTGGCTGCTATATACATAACCATTGCTTGCAATTTAAGAGAACCCTTTACCACTTTAATATTTCACTAGAACTTGAAAACTTAAGGGGGGGTTATTCTTCAGAATCTACTCCCCCCCCAAATTGACACTTACCTGTCCAGAGACCCAGCACCATCCTCACCCAGGCTGGTTCTTCACTGGTCTTTGGGCCCCAGCATCTTAACTGTGGGAAAATGGCTGACTGCTATCAGTTCCACAGCTGGCTCCCACTGCATGCATGAACCATGTGTTGCAAATGGACCCACAACCCAGAAGCTTGCAGGTAGGGCTACACCCCCCCCCCCCCCTTAAATATGGCAAAGGGGGAAGGGAGGAAAAAATTCCCCTTTAGGGGAAAATACTTTAATGGTGTAGTATTAACTGCATTTAGCCACCAACAGCCCATACTACCCAACATTAGCTTGCACAAGCACATGTATTACATTTTTAAACATCAGCCATTGTGCCAACTGATGCAGTGTGTGAAATTGGTTTTTTTAACACCTACCCAGCCAAGAAAAGCCTATTTATATGCATTTCATTTAAAGCCATGTTAGTTACATTTAAGATGCCGCTATTGCTGAGTGACCAGCAGTGTCACCACCCAAGTGTAAAATGTCAATTAAGATTATGCACATTAAGTAACCAAATTAAGACACTCATGCTTAAAGTGATTGTAATTTTAAAAACAAGTCTATACTTGCCCCCATCCTCTTAGGTCCCCTGCTGCCACTTAGTGTTCCTCCCCCTGCCAAGAGCCCCCCATTGCAAACTGCATTCAAACCTTCAGGCCCACTTTAAATCTGAAATCTGGGAATGAGACACCATCCTTGCAGCAGTTCCTCTTGCTCATTTAGTCTAAGGGAGCACAGATCAAATACCTGACCCCTGCAGCCTCTAAAGGTGCTTGGGCTGCATGCTTGTCCTCCACAGGACATGCAGGATTAATAACCTAGCATTGTATGTGAAGCAAAAAACCATGCCCAGACTGGAGCTTCAGAAAGGAATTTGCCAAAGCCTGTTCTGTTGCTACTAAAGTAAATGATCAGAGGGAGCCCAATGCAAGGGTTTGTCACATTCCTCAAGTTCAGCTTAGATATGTCACCTTTAATAACTGATATATAAAGGTCTCAACATAAACCCCTCCCCCAAGTTGGAGGTCTGATACATGGATGCTGCCTTTGTATTTGCTCAACAGCAAGCCCAAGTCAACTTTGAATGTCTAGAGCATACAGTTTTGTAGAGGAGAAACCTTGACATTTCAGCTACACACTGACAGCAGTTGTGAAGTTTATTTAAGTGATCTAGCCATTTAAGCTAGGTAGTACTTATATGGTGGAGATATTAAAGACTATTCAAGTCAGACTTGAACATTGGTAGGGGGGGGGGGGGGGGGGGGGGAGCTAAACTGGGCAATACAACAGAGTCAGCAATAGCAGCTTCCCTGTAGGAGGTGTGCCATGACAGCTTGACAATGAATAGGAGTAGCCTTTTGTTCTGCATATGTCTGACAAAGATGTCCAGGGGCAAACACATTTATGTTCCTTATTAAAAATTACAAATAGTACATTACATGCAAGTTAAGAGATTCATAAGCTAGCTCATCACAGCAGCATGTTACTAATTCAACCGCACCTAACAATAAACTGCCCACCAACCCTTGTCCTAGAAGCCCAATCTTAATATTGGTAAAAGGTAACACAAAATGGTCAATAAATAGGATTTAGTCAGCCATATCACTCAGCATATTGGGTCACAACTGTTCATAGGCAGTAGGTCCAATAAAGTAAACCTGTTAAATGCAAGCAATGTTGTAAAGCTGTCTTTGGGTGAAAGTACTTCCCAATGTAAAGCTAAGATTTAACAGCTTTTGTTCCAAGACAATGCACAAGCAATTAACGTTTACAGAGATGCAACACTAAAAATTTGACAAATCTGTTGCTATAGAACCCATGTTAACACTGCAATAATATTTCACACTTATCTATAGGCTACTAAAGCTTATCAGATGCAATATAAGATGCCCATACCTGATGCCTGGGGCGACCCACAATGGATGGGAACACAGCACGAGGAGCATCATCACCTGCAAAGCCAGCTTTGCACATTCCAGATCCATTGTCAACAACCAGGGCAGCGATATCGTCTTCCATTGTGATCTGAAAAATGGAATGAAAGTTAGTCAGCAGCAACACAATGCACTGTGCACCAATGAAGCCGCCTGCAGAGGGCGTATGGGTTTGCACCAGTTCTTGATAAAACAAAGGGAAGTCCTGGACTGAAGAATTACCAAATAAGGCAACAGAGCAGATTAACGGCAGGGGGTGGGAACAGCACATCACTTAACCCATTACATACTGCAAGGCAGACAGGCCCTGCAACAGCTAGAGATGGGAAGAAAAAAATACAAAACGGTCTAGCTACAGTTTGGAAAAGGAAACTGGAAGAGCCTGTTGTGACTACAGCTACATTCTAGCCATCACATTCCTGATCGTCATAGTCTGGAGTGTCACTGCGCAGCATTCTGCTTTATGGCCACATCATACGGTTATTGTTAAGCCAATCAATTCTTGGAGTAGTTCCTTGAGGTCAACACTGAGGAAGCCTGGCCTAACAAGCCTCACTATAACCATCATTAACAGTCAGATGGGAGCCATGCATGCAATCCCTGTTACAGCATAAATAGGGGCATGCAATTAAAGATAAAAACAAAGTTCTGAGATACAACTACTACCATCGCCTACTTCATACTAGCCAAGCATGCTTGGGGAAGGGGCCCCTCGAGTTCTAAAGCTGCCCGTCTTCATGGGGGTGCATTGTGAAGAGAGCTAAGCGTCAGAGGGTTGTTACGTCAGACTAATAACTAGACGTCCATTAGGTCCCTGCTTATACAAAGAGCAATGTACACCTAGTAAGAGAAAGACGCAAAATAGCTCCTGAAAGCCGCCATTACACCCGGCACTGTGCCCTCCGTTAGCACGACAACTGACCATACAACAGAAACAATCGTAGACTGCCACAAGTCACATTACCTGGTGCTACTCGCGTCCTCCACACTAACCTCAAAGCAATACAAGCGGTCACTGAACTAAAGAGGGCTCGGCACCGGCTTTATGCTGCGCGCTCCCAGCCGGCCAGGCCATATAAGGAAAGCTCCAGGAACCGGCTCTCGGATTGGTTAGGAGGATTGCGGGTGGCGGAAGGATATCATGTGAGGAGAAAAAAAAAAAAAAAAAGAATCTTCAGCAGCACGCTATGATGTCAATGAAGATCAGCGAGCGGAATTAGTAATAGTGCGGTAAAGGGCTGTGTGTTGCAGTGTCACATAGAAAGGTGCGGCATTTAAAGTCCGGGCGGCCACACCCAATGAGAGAGGCGCTGGGTAACGTTCTGTCTATGGGAGTGTTCCAGTGTATGACAATGGGATAGAGCCATGAACATTGGATCCTCCTGCGGACGCTGCACTTCTTTTTTTATCCTTGTGAGAGGAAAACGAACGGTTGTGTACCGGCACAGGCGTGTATAGTAAAGCCAGGGCCACAGCTTTTTTCCCCTACACTGCCACTAATTAAAGGGGAACTGGAGTTTTTTTTTGTTTGTACAAAACACATTTTTGGCTGTAGATGTAAAAGAGACCATTTTAATGTATAAAATAATTGGGTGTCAAAGCACGACTTCCTCCTAAAGAGGACGCTCCACTTATGTCCCCCCCTCCCCAACCACCACCACATTTGACCCAAAATATTTTTTGGGGAGCGGGTACCTGGTTTTGACAGGTGATCCGAGCGCCCCTAGACAATCTGAATGGAAGTTCAGCCCCCCTTTGACCACAGCCTTTTGAGACGCATCACAGGTCCCAGAAGGCTGTGGGACCATTCATGCAGCGCGGCTCACGCATGCGCAGTGGAAGGCTGGCTCTAGCTGCAAGGAGTCACAGTCAGTTTCCCTTACCAAACATGCCAGTCATGGTCGGATCTAGGGGGTGCTGGGGAGGGCTGCACCCCCCCTAGATTTCAGTTCTTGTCTCCAGGCAACACCTACCCATATGGAGGTTGTGCCTGGTCAGGGTTACCAGCTGTCCATAAGAAAAAGCTGTTGGTAAATATAAGGGCTGGTTGGATGCACCTATGCAGGCTGAGTGTCTGTAACACTAAGAACCCAGCCTGCACAGTCCCCCCGCCATCCCTTACAATGTAGATTGGAGGGGAGAGAGGTATCAATGTGTTCCACCTCCTCCCGCCCCTCTCTTCTGTACGCGCCCCAACCAGTACTGTGCCTGAGGAAGGGGATGTGTGGGAACTGCAAAGTAGTGCAGCCAGCAAACCCATCTGGCTGTATGATTGGTGCCACTGTCCGAGCCTGCACAGAGCAGCCTAGGGTTAGTGAGCTCTGCACTACCACTGAATTGTCCAAATCTCCCTCCGTTCTCTTCCCCCCGTCTTCCAGGTGCTTCACACACTTAACCAGTTCATTTCATGTCCAGTTATCAACTGAACTCTAATATAAGGGGGCACACCGCTGGACTCTGATGTAAGGGGGCACTCCACTGGACTCTGATGTAAGGAGGCACACCTTCGAAATCTGATGTAAGGGGGCACTCTGCTGAACTCTGATGTAAGGGGACACTCTGCTGGATTCTGATGTAAGGGGACACTCTGCCAGATTCTGATGTAAGGGGGAACTCTGATGTAAGGGGGTACGCAGCTGCAGGCATCATCATAGTTAGTCTGGTTGAAAAAAGATACCAGTCCGTCTGGTTCAACCAATATCATCCCTGTATTGTTTTTAGAGCTGGCAGTTGGATTTCTTGTAAAAGCAATCTTAGCAGCTAATTAGACACTGGATTGCTTTACAAGCAGTGGGGGGGGGGGGATGTCCCCACCTCGCTGCCTTCCGCAGCTCTCTCGGGCTCTCCTGTCGGGAGAATCAAGCATCCAGCCGGTTGAGCACAGAGGTAATCAGAGACTGGAACAGCTCCGATCATCTCTATGAGATTGGAAACTGTTGAGCATTTGTCACTTCCAGTTTCGCCAGATGTAAACAGCTCCATCTTTAAATTGGGAAAGCATCTGATTACACTGATCTTGGTGTGATCAGATGCTTTAAGGGCAGAGGAGACATCTGGGTCTAATAGACCCCAGATCTCTCCATAAAGAGTACCTATCACTGCCTGTTGCTATCACAGGGATATTTATATTCCCTGTGATAACAATAAATGTGATTTAAAAAAAAATGTAAAGTGACAGTGTAAAAAATAAAATAATTTTAAAAAGTCTTAAAGCACCCTGTCCCCTCATGCTCACACGCAAAGGCTGACGCACCGCCAGTCCCACACATACGCAAACAGCGCATACATGTGAGATGTGAGGTATCACCAAGAATGTCAGATCGAGGGCAGTCATTTTACCACTAGGCCTCCTGTGTAAATCTAAAGTGGTAACCTGTAAAGGCTTTTAAAGTGTCACCTATGGATAATAACATTTACCGTGCTTGTTGCTGTTCCCACGGGCGTGCTCAGTTTTAAAACATGACATGTTTGGTATGTATTTACTTGGTGTAATATCTTTTTTAGCAAACAATTGGGTATTATATTGTGTTTCTGTGCATTAACATTAAAAAAAATATTACGTTAGAAAACCGCTGTGCAAATACCATGACATACCATGAAATACCGTGACATAAAAAATTGCTACACCCACCATTTTATCCTCTTGAGACACTGCTTTGAAAAAGTATACAATTATATGGGGGTTCTAAGTAATACTCTAGCAAAAAATACTAATTTTTTTACATGTACACAAAAAAATGTCAGAAAAGGCTTGGTCTGCCTAGTATCCCTATGCATACTTTGCAATTATCTGAGTACATTGGGATAGCCTTTTTGGATCTTCTAGCCAAGGGATGAGCTCAATCTGGTCCAAACTTGGTTTTGGACAGAAACCCTACAGGAATCTAATTTAAAGTGTTCCACTATAGGCATTATCACCCCTGCTCCTCCAACCGTTGGGTGTCCACTTCATGGCCATAATGTTCAAACAATGAAAAGAAAGCCACTCCCCATCATAAAAGCCTTGAAGAAAAATGTATTTATCCTTCTGGTACATAGACTGTTCTGCAAATAAGAACAAAAGAAAGCGCACCAACCTTGCGCATTACCTCAGCAATACGATGATTTTATTAAAATAAGATGTGTACTCACAAAGGTAGCAATATAAAAAGCGTATAGTATCCAAGAGTAGATCACAGGAGATCAAGTAGCATGTGAATCTCACAGACAAGGAGACTCTCTTGAAAGGCTGACGCATTTCAAAAGGAGATCCCTTCTTCCTTAGAGCCAGAGAAAGAAGGGATCTCCCTTCGACATATGTCAGCCTTTCACGAGGGTCTCCTTGTCTGTGAGATTCGCATGCTACTTGATCTCCTGTGATCTACTCTTGGATACTATACGCTTTTTATATTGCTACGTTTGTGAGTACACATCTTATTTTAATAAAATCTTTGTGTTGCTGAGGTAATGCGCATGGTTGGTTCTTTTGTTCTTATTTGCAGTGTTGTTCAGGCTTCCCAGCCTTACCTAAGGGCTGTACAAACCTTTGATCCCTTGGTGGATGTGGTTTACAGAGGTCGATTTATCCACCTGTTCTGCATCTAGGTCTCTGAGCGCTGGAGATGTCATCTTGATTTTCTTACATAGACTGTTCTACTTGCTCCTCTTCCCAACTTGTTCCATTTTATTACACTATTTGCTGCATCTGCATCTTCTTCTATTGGCTGCCTGGACATAGTTCAGGGCGGATGCAGATGCCAAAACAAAAGTAGTCTGCGTGCGGTTGTGGGGGCTCCAGCGCCTGTCTGAATGAGGCCCAAGGATTGCAGGGTGGGTGGACACCTTTATTACCACCCGATGCTTTAGGCTCTGTTCACACTTTGTGTATTTGAAATCATGTGATTTTGCCTGCAATTCCAGATTGAGCTAGCTAAATCACAGCAAAATGAGCAATTTGGGTTTTTAACAGCTAAAATGCATTGAGTTTGTACAAAACATGTGGATCCAGAACAGGGTTCATTCTCCAGTTGCCAACATCCCAAAAGGCTGAGTACCATAAGT